AACTCCGACGAAACAGTTTGTCACAGCCCCTCATTTGTTGTCCTCTTCTCCCTCTCTGCCTACGGTTTACCGGGCAGTTCTATTTGACGATATATATATATATATATATATACATCGTCAAACAGATCTGGCCGGTAAACTGTAGGCTGTGACAGGCCTCTCATTGTTTCGTGGGTGTTTTGCTGGTTTGTGATGGGGTGTGAACCGACAGTCTGTAGAGTTTTCCATCCGGTGTGGGTGAGTGATAGTCTGCTTCGATTTTCGTCACGGGTACCTTGAGGGCACTTGTTGGTGCCCACCTCGAGGTATCAGTTGTCGGGCAGTTGTTGATGCTTAACCACAACCGAATGGGGTTAAGGTGGATTATTACTTACAGTGTAATCAGTTAGGGGATTCTGCAGACTGTTAAGGGTGCAGCCTCCTGACGAGTCGGTGAAACTCCAACAAAGCAGTTTGTCACAGCCCCTCGTTTGTTGTCCTCTTCTCCCTCTCTGCCTATGGTTTACCAGGCAGCTCCGTTTGATGATTTATATGGCTCTCTCTCTCTCTCTCTCTCTCTCTCTCTCTCTCTCTCTCTCTATCTATCTATCTATCTATCTATCTATCTATCTATCTATATCTATCTATCTATCTATCTTTGTGTGTGTGTGTGTGTGTGAGTGTGTGTGCGTGTGCATATGGGATGCCAGGGGCAGTGCCGCAGTGGGATGACGCCAGCATGGGTGTGGAGCAGGGAACAGGGTGGGACCGTGCACGCAGGACGAGTTTGCAGAAGGCTTTGCATCTCGTGGCGCGAGCGATGTGAGAGCAGACTCCCCGGCGGTCTGCACAGACGTGCGCACGCATCGTGCCTACGGAGGGTGCTACGGCGCTCGGGGAGTCTTGAGGGGCAGCTGGATTGGGTATGACCCAGTCATAATTTTTTTGTACAAGTGCACGGGGGTTTGTGCGCCACGTGTCCAAACCTTCGCGCACCTCTCGTGTTGTTGCGAAAACGTTGGGAGGTCACCGTTTTCCCGTTTAACGGGACTTCAATGCAGATCGGGAGGGTTTTAACGGGTGCCAACGCCCGTTAAACTGGAATCCCCCGCCCGTTGAGAAGACACCCAGCCAATAGATAGAGCAACGACTAATCTTATCCTCCTCGCTACCTCACAAAGGCACAATGATTGTCTCCGGCCAATGGCAATACTTATTCCGAAATAGTAACAAATTATCAGGACGCGTAAAAAAAAATTAAAAAAAAGAAAAGCCAAAGCATGCATCTATCCAAAAAAACTTCCCGCGGAGCACACTTCACACTTCTTGACACTTTCATTCGTGGATGAAAGGGGAACCTTGCCTTGAATGGGCGAGCGGAGAGAGTGGCAGGTGATTGTGGATGGAAGGAACATGGCTGGAGACTGTTGCACGAAAATCGGTATCCATCTTGAGCACTTGCAGGACTTTGTAGCAAGTTAGCTGAGCTCCATCCTTTTTTTTTTGTTTTTTTTTGTTTTTAATGACCCTGGTGTCTTTGCTAGGAGAGGAGCTCCATCCATATTGACCTCACAAAAAAAAAAAAAAAAAAAGTAAAAAAAATTGTGGTTGACAAACTTGTCATTGATCAGAGGACATACGAAACAATGTTGGCAGGCAATGTTTTTTTTCACTTTAGAGCAAACTCTTTGAGCGGGATGGAGATGACTTTTCGAGGTGGGTGTGTGGCCATCCGGATTCGCGACCAAAGAATCAAAGCAGATGTTGAACTAAAACCCAGGATCATCTCCTCCTGCAATGTCAAGAAAAAATGGTGTTGTGTAAAAAATAAATAAATAAAATAAATAAAAATGGTGTTAAATTTTCTCTCAGTTCATAGCATAGTAATCGCACTTGCTAGCACAGGAAGCGACAATAAGAGCAGAAAAGCTGTAATTAGACAAAAAGAAGATAAGAGGGAATGTATGCGTGGTCGTTTCTGGGCCAAAATGGAAGGTTCTTTTCCATTATGCATGTTATTATGGTATATATATCTTACGTCCCAGCCAGAACAAGGAGGTGGTTGAAGAGTCTTGAAGTAACTGGGCCTTGCACGTGGCAGGCCATGGAAGGAGAATGGTGGGACACCCTTCCAAAGGAACGTCCGTCGAGTCGACAAAGACGTGCGGACAATCACCAGGGAAGTCATGTGTTGATACATACGCTGTGCCCCTCAACGACTACACGCCAGACATCCCTGTTTGGGATGATGATATCCTTTTGAATTCAATTTTAAGATTGCGTACATTCTCAATTGACTTTGAAAAACTTTTCGTCGTTTTTGAACACTCTTAGGAAGAAAAGCTATATGACCTGCAGTTGCTACAGACAAAGAGGATTGCAGAGATGATGGTAATCGGGCTGATGATGCCGTCGCTAATATGATTATGATGATAAAAATGAACGCGACGATAAGGTGATGATGATAATGCCATCGCTGCGGACCATTTCCAATAGTTCATGCATGGTCAAGGAGAAGTTATTAACTTATTATAGAGTTTATAGGTGGCAAAACCACCCTCCTCCTATCTGGAGCCCTTTTAGATACTTGGCTCAGTTCATCTGACAAACACACGAGGACGGTGCCACCTACCTACCATGGTCATCTAACCATGGTCCCGAATCCGAATACCACGAGCGTACGCCACGCGGGCAAAAGAAGTGGTAATAAGTTAATAAATTAATAAGGACTAATAATTAATTATGAGCAATTGCTGACGATGGGGCTGATATCAGCAGTGATGGCAATGATGATGATGATGATGATGATGATGATGATGGAAAGACACCTGGGCTGGTCAGTTCAATGATCAACGTCGGTGATCATAATGACAATGCTGGGGTGACTTGATCTGGCGAACGCACGAGCATGGTGAGAATAACATTTTCCATGGAAGGCTTACCGTCTTCACCGGAATAGAACGCCTAGTCATTATTGCAGCATCTGGACTGAAAAATGCCCCAAATACAGTTGTAATGACCGGGTGTTATATTCGGGTGAAGACAGTAGGGCACTGCAAGAAATATCACCTTCGGTACCTTCAGAAGAAGAAAAAGAAAAAAAGATCCACCATGGTCGTTAACCGTGGGGCCAAGTACGAAGTTCACAAACCGTGGCAACAAATCGAGCGGTGACCATTAACGATTAATGATGATGGTGCTGATATCAGTAGCGACGGCGATGATGATATGATGTAGAGAGCGCAAGGATTTATAGTGATGATAATGACAATGGTGATGGTCACGATGATATAATGACGAGGATATCTTTTCTTTGCATTTCTGCGAGACGATGGAATCAAGTCCATATACAGTACCAGCAGAGATTGGAATCGATTGTTTTTGCATTGGGGAATTGTATCATTGTCATTATGTTCCTGCTGAAATTATCTACACTGCAAAAACAATCGCTTCTACTGCTGCTTGTCTGTCTACATACCGGATCCTTGTACCGCTTTCACTTCTTGCACCGGGAAGGTTGGTACGCAGAATGTGAAAACAAGTCCTCACGCGGTTGTTTGCTAGGCTACCAGCCGGGCCCGCCTGGGTCCCATTGTTTGCCCCGGGTCACCCGGCCGTGCAAGCGCCGAAGGAGGTCCCAGAAAAAGAAAAAAAAATGCAAAAAATCTGGAAAAAAAAATGATGTTATGGCAGAAAAATAAAACTGAACAACTTTTGCCTCAGGGTCACATCGAAATTCTTTACCAATTTTATTTAAATTTTAAAATAAATTTAATAAAACAGTTTTTTTTTTTTTTTTTTTTCCTTTTTCTTTTTTGCCCCGGCCGGGCCAATGGTCCCCCGTCACTCTGGTAGCCTCGTGCAAGTTGTTTTTTGGCTTTTATATCTCCTACGGTGGCGCGTATGAGGAGTGGGTTTTCTACTTTTCTCCGATTTAGAATTAGTGTTCGTTTCTTTTGCCGGTTGAAGGGTTTTTTTTTTTTTTTTTTTCCTTAAAAAGGCTAATTCTTTAAGCCCTCGGTTGGAGTTTCAACGTGGTGTTCATTTTTTATAAGTTAGGAATTCTGTTGGAGCCATGGCTACGATCCGGACGTCCGGACCGCCGTCCGGACGGTCTGGATTCAGTCCGGAATCCAGACGTCCGGTCTGGAAGGTCCGGATCCAGCAAATTTCGAGAAAAAAAAAAAAAAAAAAAAAAACGGTCCAGGACCCTTCCCCATTGAGGAGCCAAGCCCCCAAAATTGTTTTGGGGGTTTTTCTGGCCCGTTTATTTTTTTTTGGGGGGTCCGGACATGCTCTCTCTCTATAGTAATTTATTAGACAACCCCAATTTTTTAATTATTAATAATTCATTACCTTTTATTAGTTTTTAAAGTCTTTTTTTAAGCTTTTTATAATTTTTGACTTATAACTCAAGTTTGGTTAGGAATTCTGACATGACTCTGGGGCAAAAGTGGTTTGCATTCTTATTCTGCATAACATACTTTTTTTTCAGATCTTTTTTTTTCTTTTTTTTTTTTTAATGGTCCGGACATTTCCTGACCTGTCCAGACTTCCGGACCGTCCGGATCCCCCACGTCCGGAGGTCCGGAAATGTCCGGAATTCCGGACGTCCGGAAACTACCGGACACAGGTCCGGTTCCATGTCCGGAAATGTCCGGGTCCGGGTCCGGCGTAGCCATGGTTGGAACCATTGGGAAATTGGAAATTGGGAAATTGGGAAATTGGGAGTTGTTTCGGATTCGATGTTTTTCAATTGTCATATAAAAAACTTGTATTGCTTGTCGACTAAAGTCTAAAGGGTTTTCAAGATTGTTCACCAAGCGAGAGAAGGTTAACGGAGACCCTAATTTTCAGACCACTTGCCATGATGCCATTTATATGAAAACCAAAGGGTCATTTTAATCAAACTTGCCACCAATTCGTAGAGTGGAGACCATACTAACTAACTGCAAAAAAAAATAAATAATAATAATAATAATAAACATATAAAACAGCACGGCAAAAGTGCATTTTTATGAAATTTCGCCAACATCTCAATTTCAGAAATCTTGACAAATTCCAGAAATCTTAACAGAGGAAATTCCAATTCTCCAAATGACACAAAGCAACCTTGAACCAAAACAAGAACAGGCAAAAAAAAAATGATTCAAAAAAGTTGAAAAACATAAAATTTGACCCCAAAACCCTAATTTCAGTTTTGGACTTGTTACCCAGGGCCTGAAAATGGGGGTCCCCATTAACCACCAAGCGAAGCAAAAACCAGCTAGTGTGCCGTGCCATTGAAGAGCGAACAAGGGAGGGAGGGATATAGGCATCGCCCGCGGAAGAGCAATCTCGAGGACTGAAAGGATGCCGACTGAGGAAGACAGCCAGTCAGCCGGAGGGAAGCGAGAAACTGAGCAAGTGTGTCAGTGACAAGCTCTCTCTCTCTCTCTCTCTCTCTCTCTCTCTCTCTCTCTCTCTCTCTCTCTCTCTCTCAAGGGAGGGAGGGAGGGAGGGAGGGAGGGAGATAGGCATCAACCAGCAAAGGAGCAATCGAGAAGGACTATGGTGTTCACTTGACGACAGCGCCCGGTCATTATAGCTGTGTATTTTGTGCAACTTTCAGTCTCGATACAGCGACAATGACCATACGCTCCATTCTGGGTGAAGACGGTCAGCAAGAGAGGGAGGAGTAATTGGGGACGGAACTGCGCAAGCGACGGTGCAAGGCAGTGAGCGAGTAAGCGTGCTGCTAAGCCATACCATCATCACCCCTGAAGGATCACTCATCCTTCAGGGGGAGCAGGGAGCTGACAAAAATATTATGCTCCTTTTGACGCCAGAAGGCCCGTCAGATGTTCTGTTTCGTTTTCTTTTTTTTTTCATTATTTTTCCCAGAACACTCCGCACGACAAATTGCACGCCCATGCTCTTAAATTCTCCCGCAAAGCTTCTGACCCCACCACCTTCGTCCAGTACCCCAACCCAATCCACGCTCCCTCCCCCCCCCCCCCCCCCCCCCCCCCCCCCCCCCCCCCCCCCCCCCCCCCCCCCCCCCCCCCCCCCCCCCCCTCCTCCCTATAGGCACCTGACTAGGAATCTATGAATGCGGTGGGGGGGGCGGTGAGATGGATAAATGGCAAAAATCATGAAAAATGTGTCACACCTTGAACGCATGGCCAGGGGTCACGTCCCACTTATTAGGCCGTGAATTTTTAATATTTTTGTGATCTATATAGTCAGAAATTGGGAGTTTGGGTAAGTGGGACATGGATGGCCCCAGTACACCGCTGAATCAGTGCAAGATCATGACGAAAAAAAAACTGACAATGCTGAGAAAGCAGGTAGCAAGTTCTGAAAAAAACTTAAAAAAGTAAAAATAATATAATATTAAATTTAGTTTAATTTACTAAAATGATAGTAAATTCGTTTGTTTTTTTTCTTTTTTCGTTTTCGATTTGGACCATTTTCTCGATTTATGTGTGTCATCCTTGAAATCGCAGGGGCCAGTTTGGTAATTACTAATTACCCTTCTCTGTATCGGTCGATTTCTGACGGATGTCCCGAAGAAGGCCATCCACGAAAGCGCGTGGTGTTCTAAGAAACCTTTTTTTTTTTTTTTTTTTTTTTTTTTTTGAAAAATGGGACTCGTGAATTTCCACGGGCCGGGTCAATTTAACAATGATACACCAGTGATTAACGGGGATGTTCTAAGAAACCTAGGCCATAATTTTTTCTTTTTTGGGAACTGTTTCTGATACTTTCTATGCTGTTTTT